CGGATGATTCAAACATTCATCCTATTCAAAATCAAACACATGCAAATACCTCAAATGGTTGAAACTTCGCGTTTCGGCGTTGTCAGGTTCACCCTCTATCGTCTTTCGTCTAATCCAAATTTCAAACTTAATCAGTGGAGAAGAAGAGATTCGGATTGACAGCAAACCACCTTCAAAGATGACCTTTTCCGCTGCAATTTGTGGCGCGTTGGGTTTTTCGCCGATGAGACGATTCAAATCTTTGGTGTCAGATTCGTACCAGAGCAGTTAATGAGGAAAGAGAGTGAGGTAGGGAAGTGATTCAGCATCCAAATCAGCATCCACGTCGGATGGTAACCGGAAATTAACCTAGAAACGGGCAAATGGACTTTTAGTGAAAGGATTGTGTAAGTTGAGGGATTTTTGTGAAAGGATTTGAAGTTTAGGTACCACTTCAAAATTCCAGCTAAAGTTCAGGTACCATTGGTGAAATTTACCCCATAATCAGCCGGATCAAGAATTCCAAAACAATAAAACAATGCTTGTGCATAAGTAGAATCTTCTACACGAAGTGCTACCTGCTCAAGTAGTTCCTGTAAATATCTAAGGAGGCGCTTAACTACAGATATCATTGCCATGTCATGAATCTGATCCCAGTATTTTGACCCCATTTCAGGGGGAGTACCAAGATAGATCTCTGAAAGCATAACCTGAGCCTGCAAGAAAATGAAAATGATGTTATAACTAAAGTTATACTCCTATATTCTAAAATTCATATCAAATCCATTATCCCAAAATCGTAAAGGTTATGTTCAGAGAGTTCCCAAGGTTGTACCCCTACTGAAAGTACAAGTGATTCAGAGCATTCGTATATTAGGAATAACTGATATTCTCTCAGAGCTTCACAAGCCAACGCAACATTGGGATAAAGAAATGATGCGAGATAGAGACCTCGGTATAGAAAAGGGAGTACTTAATGAAAAGCAGGAAAACTGCAGGAAAAGTCACTACCTAGCAAATCAAATGCATGTTTTTAAGATGAAAAAAAACAATGAGGTAAAAAAACAATCATCATGCCCGATTGGGAGGATGCACGAATGAATTAACAAAACAGTAGGGGTAAATGAATAAAAAATCGCAAATCTGCAGTTGCTCCCCCCAGCCCCTCCCGCTCAAAAATGTGTGCGGACATTAAACTGTAAATTAACATGCTACAACTGCAAATACAAGATATATCAACCAATTCTTTGAAAGCCATCCAAGAAGTCCAATTTCATAGAAAAAAAGAAGCTCAGACTGAATAGGAAAATTTCTTTGAAGGAAGAGCATGATTTAGCATTGCTTTTTACAATTTCCCAAAAGAAAAAGGAAAAACACAAGACTTCTGAACAATAAAGTAAAATCAATACACAGAGTTGAACTTCCAGTTTTTTATTCTCCAAAAGAGTGACTAAATATACCAAGTACACTTTAATTTGACATTACATATTTTGATAAAAAACATAAATCTGGAATCGCCTAACTCGTGCCCTCACAGTCCAATGTCACTAATGCCATTGCCCAGTCAGTGAGCCCAATCCCAAAGAACAAGCCCAAATCCAGACAGCCCCATCACAGTGATATGAACCAGAAAGAGATGTTTACATTGTTATTTGAAACAAAATGTGTCTAATTGGATGAATAATTGTTTCCAATGTCCGGGATGACTGTGGAGTGTCAGTACACTTAATTGGGCTTTAGGCATATGAAGCCCGGTCCAAAGGAATGGGTTGGAAAAAAATGTGGGCTTGCATAGAAATAGTATTTTGATCATTTTTCACTCATATGAAGCCTGATTGAGATGACTCAAAATTCCTCAGAATTCTAAGAGACACCACTATAAGTCTATAACCTTTGTGTATTAAGTTGATGCATGTGCACGTGATTTCTAGGTGGAGTATTGTATTAAGAATGTTCATTGATTTTTGCCAACATGATTATCAATATACTTCCAAGTAAGATTACCATCCTTTTGTTTTGATGATCATATTAAATGAATAATTACATGAGAAATCTTCACACTTGGTTGGATTCATCAAATGAGATTTCGAGGAAGATCTATGAACATAACCACATATGTCTTCATTTGGTGGTTAAGGAGACAATCTACATTTATCAAAGATTATGAGTGATATATTTCAGTTATGTTGTGTTGTATATAAATTGTTGTTGGTATATATATTGTTTTTGGCAGACAATAGTATTTGGAAAAATAAGTTTTAGACATTTTAAAGTTTTGTAGGAGTTGATTACATTATTTTATATTTTAAAATAATGTATTTTATTTATAGTTTGGAATTTTGTGTAATCTTAGCCTATAAATATGGTCATTCTCCTTCACTGTACTATCTTGAGTATGAATATATTTGAGTGTTAGGCTCTGTTCGTTCAGGTTGTAAAAACAAAGTTGGAAGGTGGAAGAAACTGGAAGAAGTTGGAAGAAACTGAAAGTTGGAAGAAACTCGAAGGAGTTGGAAAAATCTTGGAGTTGGGAAATGTTGAAAAAAAATAGTGTTAAAAATCACTGAATTAAATAATCACCCATATAAATATGTAAGAAAACTAATTTTGGATAAAATAGAATTCATTTTTGTCCGTGTTTGAGGTGGTATGTTCTAAATTTGGATACATGATGTTATTGTATACTCATCATATGTAAATACACTTTTTAGTTGTTGGAAGAAACTGGAAGGAGTTGGAAGAAACTCGAAGAATTTGGAAGAAAATGGAAGGAGTTGGAAAAGGTTGGAAGTTAACTTTTACAACCTAAATGAACAAACCCTTAATGTGTTATACTTGACTCTTTGGATTGTGAGAATTGTGGGAGTTTCAAATACATTGTGAGTTTATTAAATTAACTGACGTACAAATACTTATCTTAATTAAGTATAACAATCATCCCTTTTGTGTTGCTACTGCATATTTCATAAAAGTGAGAAAGTTACCATTTGTTTATTCTTGGAAAACATTGGACAGAAGTATCACCTGGCGGTGTTGGTTACCACGACATGTCACTCGGGGGTATGATATATCAGGGTGATCCTTTAATGAATATTCCAATGTTGGGTGAACAAAAGAAGATTAGGTCATTAATGTCTAAGTGTTATGATCCATTTTGGGTAGAATTCTTACCCTTCAAAACTTTTAATTCCTATATTCTTACCCTTTTGGCCCAAGTATTCCCTATAGCACAGGATACGTAAAGGACATGCATCCGCCTTTTAATTCCTCTTAGTTTCCAAATAAATTCCTAAATAAGGTCAACATCTCTTTGTTTTTCACATTGGCCGAATAGCATGTGTCTTTTACTCCTAATTAGAAGTCTTAGCTTCTTCCCACCTCACGTAGCCAAGAATATCCGCCCAAATAGACTAAGAAATGCTCACATAATTAATCCTTGGTTTGACTCTTGCGTGCTAGGGCTGAACCATGTAAAAATAGAAAATCCCAGACAGCAAATGGTCTACAGGAAATATTCTAATCTTTTTCCTTAATTGTCAACATATCTAATCAGCCATTTAATCCATCATGTGCAGCGCCCTTGTTTTACCCATACTCAAGGATGAAAGTAAGGGAATTTTCACATGTAATAAGTATTGCATATGAATAGTAAGTAGTAACATGTGCAGAAAATGTTCATGAACTCCATATAATAAGCATGAATGTCTATCCCATCCTCATTTTAGTTAAATCTTATTTCATCTTCAATAATCAGAGCCTTTGTCTTGTATATTAGACCTTTAAATACACAGCAACAACAACAACAACAACACAGTTGAGTCCTACTACAGTAGGATCTGGGAAGGGTGTGTGTACGCAGACCTTGCCCCTACTCGGAAGTAGGGAGGTTGTTTCCAAGAGACCCTCGGCTCAACCTGAACAAAAAATATGGTAGGGAACACAGTATAACACGGATAAAGCACCAAGTACAATGAAATGAAAGTCCTGCAAGCAATAGTAAAAAATTCCAATCAAACACAACACACTACAAAAAACCTCTGCAGCACCGAGTTCCTATCCAGCTACTCTAATCCTAGTTCTCCAAAGGTTCCTATCTAAAGCCATATCCTCAGTCAGGGTGAGAAGTCCTAAATCCTGCCTAATCACCTCCTTCCAATTCTTCCTAGGTCTACTCCTTCCCCTACTTCCCCCGATAATCGTAATCCTCTCGCATCTCCGTACAGGGGCGTCAACATCCCGCCGTCTCACATGACAACCTCGCTTCCCGCAACTTATCTTCCACCGGCGCCATGCCTACCTGACGTCGGATAACTTCGTTCGAAATCCTATCCCACCTTGTTTTCCCACTCATCCATCGTAACATCCGCATCTTCACCGCATGCAGACGACGCACATGAGTCTTCTTAACCGCCCAACACTCTACCCATATAACATAGCAGGTCTGACTACGGATCGGTAGAACTTACCTTTCATCCTGGGCGAAATCTACGGATCACACAACACCCCTGAAGCCAACTGCCATTTGGCCCAAGCCACTCCAACACGATGTCCAACATCCCCGTCTAACTCCCCATCAGCCTGGATTACCGAGCCAAGATATCGAAACCTGTCTACCTTAGGTACTAGGTGAGAGCCAATCCTAACATCCACTTTTGATTCTGCTTCCCGGCCGCTGAAACGATATTCCATGTATTCAGTCTTGTTCCTACTTATTCTGAATCCTTTAGTCTCAAGGGCAAGGCGCCATAGTTCCAACTTATCGTTTAGTCCCTCACATGTGTCGTCGATAAGCACAATATCATCCGCAAAAAGCATGAACCATGGGACCCCTTCTTCAACACCTTGAGTTAGGACGTCCATCACCAAGGCGAACAAAAAAGGGCTAAGGGCAGACCCCTGGTGCAACCCCATCCCTACCGAGAATGACTCAGAGTCACCCCCGGAGGTCCTTACCCTAGTCATAGCCCCATCGTACATATCCCCATCGCGCGATTCAGAATAAGTTGGAACTATGGCGCCTCGCCCTATACTCATAGCCCCATCGCGCGAGTGTACACGATGGGAACTCCTCTCGTCTCAAGGCACCTCCATAAGACCTCCCTTGGCACCCTATCGTACGCCTTCTCAAGATCAATAAACACCATATGAAGGTCCTTCTTCCTAGCCCTATACTCTTCCATTAATATCCTCACGAGGTGAATGGTCTGTAGTCGATCTGCCAGGCATGAAACCAAACTGGTTCTCAGAGATGCTAACCCCTTTCCGCACCCTATACTCAATGACTCGCTCCCAAACCTTCATGGTGTAGCTAAGCAGTTTGATGCCTCTATAATTCTCGCAGCTCTGAATGTCACCTTTGCCTTTAAACAGAGGGACCAAGAGACTCTCCCTCCACTCATCAGGCATCCTTGTTGTCCGGAAGATAACATTGAAGAGTTTGGTTAACCAAACCCACGCACCACGACCCGCATGCTTCCAAAACTCCACCGGAATCTCATCTGATCCCAAAGCTCTCCCACTACGCATCCCGCGGAGAGCCCAAACCACCTCTTCCAGGCAAATGCGCCGACAGTACACACGAGACGCCCCGGACTGCCCCAGCTCATCAAGAACTAGCCTCTGGTCTCCTCCCGCATTTAAGAGTTCACAAAAGTACTCCCCCAGTGCTTAGCCACCTTGGCAGTTACCATCGCTGCCCTTCACGCATCTCACTTGGTCCAGATCTCGGGCCTTCCTCTCAAGCACCTTAGCAAGCCGGAACAGTGGATTAACACCGCCTTTCTCCTCAATATCCTTGTAGAGGCGTTCAAAAGCGGCATTCTTTGCCCTCGTAACCTCTAACTTAGCTTCTTTACGTGCCTTCTTGTACTCCACTCGTAACGCCGCTCTTTCCTCCTCAACATTGCAGCCCATGTACCTCAAATATGCCACCTTCTTGGCTTCCACCTTACTTCGGACTGAATCGGTCCACCACCAATCACCCTGACGCCTACTCCCAGAGCCAGAGCTCACACCTAACACTTCCCTGGCTGTTTCCTTGATGCAGTTAGCAGTCCGCGCCCACATATCAGTAGCCTCTCTGGCCGATTCCCACGCACCTTTCTCCTACACTCGCCTGATCAACTCAGAGATATTCTCCTCACTTACTCTCCTCCACCAGATTTGTGTGTTGCCACTCGAAGCTCTCCTATGCTTCACCACCTTATCATGACATCCATCACCAGAAGCTTGTGTTGGGTAGTGATGTTTTCACTCGGAATTACTTTAGCATCCTTGCAGAGCACCCGATCACACCTGCGCAGGAGAAGAGAGTTGATTTGTGTCGTCCCCACTCCACTAACAAATGTAGCCAAATGGTTGTCTCGTTTAGGGAAACAAGAGTTAGCAACCACCATGTCACTCGCTCTGGCAAACTCCAAGAGTGAAACTCCCGCTGGGTTCCTGCTGCCAAAACCACCGTGCACGTCCTCGAAGCCCTCAGCCGAGTCTCCAATATGGCCATTGAAGTCACCTCCTATGATGACTTTCTCAGTCAGTGGAAAACCAACAACCACTCCATCCAAGGTGTCCCAAAACTCCCTCTTTACTTCATCTGCCAAGCCAACATGCGGGGCGTAAGCACTCACGATATTGATCGCACACCCACCCAAAACCAACTTGATAAACATCAGACGATCACTAATCCTCTTCACCTCCACCACAAACTCTCGCAGCTCCGGCGCCACCAGAATACCGACTCCATTCCTTCCCCTAGCTGAACCTGAATACCACAGTTTGAAACCATCAACCTCTCGCGCCTTAGTGCCCACCCACCTGGTTTCTTGCACGCACGCCACCTGAATCCTTCTCCTCTTGAGAACTTGCACCAACTCAATTGACTTACCTGTGAGGGTCCCTATGTTCCATGAGCCGAAACGCACATGGGACACTACACTACCCCTCTGCGAACCTCCTACCCTCGTCCCAACCCCGGGATATGACCTTATAGTTACATTGCTAACCCATGCCACTACACCTACACAACAGCACCAAAAGCAAAGCAGAGACGAGACTACTAACACAAAAATAGTAGGTACGAACCGCTACTAAAGAAGGTAAGAGCAACAATACAAATAACAGTAAAAGAGTACGGAAGTAGCACAAGTAGCCTTTAAAGAGTACGGAAGTAGCACAGCCTTGTATATAATCCAGAAACTGAAACAGCCTCCCCAGACCCTACTTTCGTGGGATTTAACTGGTTTGTTGTTGTTGTTGTACTACGGGGTATGTATTTTACTCTTTGAGTGAAATCTAAGATAGTGTGATGTTAATTTATCCAAAACCCTAAATTTTAATTAGAAGTAATTCTTAATTAAATTCTAGAGTAAACTCTAAGTGAGATTTGAGTGCTTGTATCTCGTATGTGAGCTTAGTTTATACCTTATCAACAAAATCCCTAAGAATACTTTTGTTTCTCAAACTTCATGCACAATTCTAGTCACCACCTACCCCACATATAACAAGGTAGCATCGCACCACTGCACCAGTCGTCCAGTCGCACCCATCCCCAACCCCAGTTACACTCCATCACTGCCCACTCACCCATAGTCTCATAGAAGTAGCCCCAAACATGAGAAATATCAAAGAAGACTATAGATGATACACAATTGATACTCCATCGCCACCTAGTGACCCCAATCCCAGAGAAATCCATGGATACATAAAAGATTATCTTCAAAGATGAAGAAGGCCATCCCAGATGAGTTTCTCTTTGTCACCCAATGGATGCCTTAGCCTAGAAGTCTATCGATTCTGCAACACAGCAGTCTAATAGTGTTAACAATCTCCTTGCTTTCATACAACTGATACAAGACAGGCAAATACTACATCATATGGAGCGGAGGAATAAGGTTAGAACTCGGGGCCTCTTAAATCATATGGAGCAATGCCCAACATTAGCCAAAAAGCAGGAGACACAAAGGCCAGAAATATTTTGGTGGATAGGAATCCTTTGACCGCCATAAAATGAAACATGGAAGAGTAAAAATTTCCCCTGTTGTCTAGACCAAGAAATCGCTCAATCAAAAAATGGAGCTCTGAAACTAAATTTTAATGATTAGTTAATTTAAGGTTTTTAGGAAAATGCATTACCTAGATTTTGAAAGTAGAATTTTACAATCATAAGGAACAGATAGTAAATATCACAGAAGTACTCGTGACATGTATAGTTACCTCATTTAAAAGTTTCAGACATATGGTCTGGCACTTTGCCGACGTTGCAGCTACATCAATGCATGACAAAATCTGAAAGTATAACAATGGATATCATGATATAACATAGATTAATCATGAGAAAAGACTCTGACGGGTACTTAGAGAAATGGGATCACAGTCAGTCAAAATAGGCTTACAGCATGCAAAGGGCCTAACTGAGCATGTAAAGAAGAAAAGTCTAATTGCTGGACAGCAGAATATACATCAGCAGCACGGGTTACAGCATCCTCCACCTGAAAAAAATAATGAAAACAGTTACCAAACAAATTACTAAATTCCCACTAAAAAGGTCATCTTGTACTTCCTATCGATCAATAAGGACACATATTGAAAGGTATCAATGGTCACCACCCATGCACACCACTGTGAAAACAGAAAAGGGTATTCCACAAATGTCCAAATAAGTTAAGCCTCTCTAAAAAATAAAAAAAAGCTAAGCCTCTCTAGAAATATATACTCCATCATCCCATAAAAAGGTTTCAAATTGACTACCATTACTAAAAAATTGATAATTGTGTGATTGAGGTAATACACATGAGAAAGAAATAATTAGTCTCGCTTTTCTTTCCTTAAAAGAAAGAAGAATCTTATTTTGGGATAGAGAGAATGTAGCAAGCCTTTAGGGGAGCACTCTCGGGCATGGGATAATAAGGGGATACCAAATGCTTGAGATATTTACTTCAAAAGCTAGGCAATATTAATGATGCATAAATCCGGGATAACAAGACAATGTTACATATTTATTGATTCCATTATAGCATGTGAGCCTCGCTCAGAGCCACGCTCCTTTAATATGATGAGAACCTGTCATCTTTTTCATACCAAACCTAATTTACTTCTACATCTCTTTTGGTGTGTATAGCTCAATTGGTAGAGCATTGGGCTTATATCTTAATGGATGTGTGTGTGTTTAACATATTTCAACATAAAACATTAAACATCACATATTATCAATATTCGCTATGTATGATCTACTAGTAAACAATTCAAACAAAAGTATATAAGGAACATACAGATGCTCTTTTGACGGTACCATCTACCCATTCAAGTAATGCTAGTGTAGCTTTGTCTTCTGGAGGTAAAGAGAAACGTTTAACAGCTTCCCCTCCAATGTCAAACTTTGCCCTCTGCATACAACTGTCACAATGAATAAATATACAAAATAAATAAATTAAAGCAATAAAGTTGATCATTCAACTCTGATGCATGGAATAGGTGTGATTGCAGATAAAGATTAGCAACCCCTCCCATGAAACATGAGCATGGACATGAGGGTTGTGACAGACACGAGGGGCTACAAATGCAGTAGACGAAGGATGAGGAAGCGGGCAGTAGTGTATCATTATTAGTCTTACACACAAGAATTACTGGATGCAGCAAACATGAAATAAACAAGCAATTAAGTTGTTTATCAATCCTTAATATAGACAAGACAACATATGTTATTATCACAACGTGAATACTTATAGACCAAATACTGATTCAGTCGATACCACTAATCAGGATAAACCATCAAGTGCATCAACAAAGGTTTTGTCCTGTTATAATAAGAATAGGGGAACAATGAAGGGTAGCAGAAACTATAGCACTCACAGATTCAGCAGCTTTGAAGGTGCTGCATGTAACACTGCTAGAACTTCCTTCCATTTCCATTGCCGCTCAGACGATGGCAGTAGGCATTGCAGAATAGACAACCGCCATCTCCAATCTTCAATAAAATGCCTGGCATTCAAGATTAGCCACCCAAGGGTTTCTTTTCCACCAGATGATATATTCTCATTGCAGTAATTCTCCTCTGATGATGCTATATTGTGCTGTAATATATCAAGTAATTGCCCAATAAACAATACAACAGTCTCATTCACTGACTCTCTAACTGCATTGTCCAAATTGCCGCTTCTGAAAGTAGTGGGCAGTTCAGATGAACTCCTCGATGAGGTAGAAGTTTCTGAACCGAGAGAGAGATCAACCATATGAAGAGTGGAGATGATAGTGTTCACCATAAATATCTGCATTGTTATTTTGGAAAAAAGAACACGTCAAATTAATGTATGAGGCTGTGAATTTTGGTAATTCCGCCATGCTGACACACTGGCAAACATAGAATGAACCCCCTAAAAGTAGTGCAAATATGAAATACTCTCTTTATCCCAAAATAGAAGTCCACATAGACCGGACACATAGTTTATGAAAAGTCAAAAGTGTGTTGTTGGAATTGATTTGAAAGAGAGAAATAATAATGGCCACATTTTCCTTTCCAAAAAAAAAGAAATGGACTTGTTTTGGGACGGGAAAAAAAAGAAAGTGTGTTGTTTATTTTGGAATAGATGGCGAATAATAATTGTCATGGTGGCTTTTTTTAACGCATTTCTGAATTATGACCAATAACAACTAATAGGAGTACATTGTAACAATGTATTATAAGGAGTCGAAAAGTGTAAAAATGCAGCATGTAATATTCGAGTTGATTTTGTGCTATTAAGTCACAGTGAAATATAGATTCCCAAATGAAAACTAACTGCAAAGGAGAAGATAGCATTTGGTGTTCTATTAGAATTCTAGACTCCAGCAGTAACCACCCAAGTCTTAAACTAATGTGTGCTCCTAGTTGTGTAAAGAGAATCATTACAGCAAATTAGTTGCAAAAACAAAATTCTAAAAATAAAAATAAAGAAATTGGCATGTGTTTGTGTGTATAGGTTTGTCAAGCAAATATCCAAAACCAAGCACAGCTACTCAACTAGTATGTCCCGCTTAGAAGTAGGGTCTAGGGAGGGTGAGATGCATGCAGACCTTACCCCTACCTCGATGTGTAAAGAGGTTGTTTCCGTGAAAACCCCTAGCTAAGGGGAATTTTGGGGAGGTAAAATTGCAAAATCCTGAAAAGTTTTGACAATTTCAAAGATATTTGTAAATTTTTAGCAGTAGAAAACACATATTAGGCTCTGTTTGGAAACCAAGAAAATGACTTCTGGAAGTCATTTTCGTCATCTCACGGTGTTTGGCAAGACAGGAAAAAAGAAGTCAAAGGAAAAATGACCATTGGTCAAGATCTGGGTTTCTTTGTTCCACACAGCCCCATGTTTCTTTACTTTCAGATATGAGTTTTCTTTTGTTGTTTTATTCATTAAGAATTTTATGGGTATGATTTTGATGATTACGAAGGGTATCTTTCAAGTTTGATGGCTATGGAATTGAGGTACTGGAGTATGTCTTCTTGAAGTGTATTTTCCAGTTTTTTGGCTACAAAGTTGCATTACTTTTTTATGGATGTTATGATTTTTTGGATGGATGTGTTAAATTTTCTATATATTCCTATAATGTTATTTAGTCATTTTTTGGACATTCATTATCAAATATCCATTTTACAAAACATGAATCAAAAAGAAATAGACAGTTTTATGATTTCTAGCCAAACAACGAAAAAGAAAAATGACTTCTGGAGAATAGCTCATTTTCCCAAGGTCACTTTCCACAAGTCACTTTCCCGGTTTCCAAACGGAGCCTAAAAGTGAAATGTAATCTGAACAGTAGGATACTGTTTAGACAAAAAAGACATGCAAGAAAGTAACATAACAACATCAAAAGCTCAGTACACTAATAGTGTCGAGAAATGATAAACATATAACCTTTCTGGGAATACTGTTGATGGCATCAAGATGGCTCTTCACATCTCTCAAATGGCACATATCAGTGCCCTCCTTTGCGTCTCCTACATGTATATTTTTTTCCATGGCCACCAGAGCAAGAACAGCAGATTCCATGGCATATCTCATGTGCATAAGTTCAATATCTTGCACCCTAACATCCATAAAAGTAAAGGGGAAAAGGAAACTATTTTGTGAGCTAACCTTTGTCCAAATGGTTGAAGCTTTAAAGGTTACATTTCACACCTTTGAGGGAATGAGAGCAAGAGCCATGTGTAAACATTGGCAATAAATTACAGAAAATAGAAGACAACAAATAAATAACTCCATGTATCTATCAGAACTTTACATTTAGAAACTGCATAAAATGTGAAACTAGCAACAGATTACTTACAGCAGCCTAGAAAGGAGACAAAAGCAAAACAGGGTATCATATTATCAATAATAGTATGAGTAGTCATGCAAAGATCAGAGCAGTCAAACTCTTGGAAAATATAGTAACACGACTAAAGCAGATGGTGTTTCGGGAAATCCTTAAAATTTCTACTGACATGTCCGCAACAAAGAAAACAAAACTAAATAGATCAAACCACAAGATTAAAAAAAGATCAACCCACAACAAAAAGCAGTGTTCCTAAGTTTTTGTCATTGATCATTACAGAATAAACTAGTTACCGCACCTCTTCCAGGCTGCTAGTGTTGAAGTGATGGGCTGCATGCTGATCAGCTCTATCGCATCTTGAAATTTAATTCTTGGAACAACATCAAACAATACCTATACAGACACTTACAATTAGTATCCACGCTAGCAGAAAGAAATATGTAGTAAAAAAAATGAAGTCTGTCAACAAATACTGAATATATGCATAGAGACCTCTTCGTAAAATTAACAATTTGAAATAAACATGTTTGTGTCTTTTGAACTGAGATTCAACAGACCCTGCAACTAAAACAGTTCCAAGTTGTGCTGTACCAATAATAGTAAGTTCAAATTTCATCAGTGCACCTTCAAGTAATGCTTGAAGTTAAAAGAGATAAATTCAGCCCATGGATATGATCCTAAAATTAGGAGAGACCAACAATTTTGTTCTCCTGTTTCATTTATTTATTTTAAAAAAACATCCTTCACTTTATGTTATGGAAGGTAATTCTACTCTGCTTTATTCATGTTTCAAAAAAGCCACTCACCGCCATAAAAGGAAAAAAGAAGTATAAAAACAACACAAAATTATTTTCACTGAAATACTCTTTTTACACACACTCGCACACAATTGCACACAAATATTATGCTCAGGGTAGTGGTACGGTCATACCCGAAGTGGACTCTGCACGGATAATCTTTCTAGCACAAAGTTTTCAACAAATGGATCCCATTTAATGCTTTCTCTTTCTTTATCTGATTGTTCATTCCCGTACGAAAGTAAGGATGATTTCAAACTCCAGGATTGACCGGAATTAACAAACACAACAAAAGAAGCAAGATCAAGCTGGTAACATAATAAATCACAAAGATGTTCAACACATGACGCCTGCCAAAACGAGGTTAACTGTTAATCTAAAAACGATGGCTACTATTAAGGGCCAATCATGAGAAACCTGACTACACTACTACTGCGAATTTCTAAGCACGTACCTCATTTAATTTTGAACTATAACGAAGAGAGTCGTGCAAAAAAAAATCTTGTGATTTGCTAGTCCATAGTACTTGCATCAGTTTTCTCCTCAACATTGTTTTACCAGACAACAAGTCCCAACCAAGAACAGCTACCAGAGGTTGAAGTCGGGGAAACAAAAAGAGAACCTACCATGAAATCAATGAGCCAAACTAATGAGACATTACCAGGAAGTTAAAAACAAACGATGAGCTAATTTGAGGCATCATAACATTTAATCCTACTAGAGTCTGATTATCTCCATAGATTTGCTAAAATAACATCACTTTTTTAACATGCATATTTAAATTTACAATAAGTACATTTCTAGCTTCTTGGAGTTCCCCATTGCGCACAAAAGATAATGCAGTATCCATGACACTTTCCAGCACATGCAAGCCACTAACACGAGCAAAATGGTAAGTTTCCCTCAAGCATGCACTCGTAGCGATACTCAATAATCTTTCCGTTTCACCTGAACCAGTGTCAGGTTTCAGTTCTCTTACAAAATTCTGAAGGCGCAGAAGGGGGAGAGTAGTGTGTTCACTACGAGATCTCAAACTATCCATATCCACAAAGAGCAACTCATCTTGAATAGCCTGTTTACACAATGTATCAACCACGGATATCAGAACATTGCTAAAATTCAGTACTGGTATTTGCAGTTATTTGATAATCAGTTGGAAAAGCCTAATTATTTGCTGCAGGATTCTAGTATTTTGTAGCCTAAGAAAAATCATGAGTCTCATCATGATTCATGTAGCCAACTTACTTGAGGTAAAGCTTAGTTGTAGTTGTTGTATAGCCTATAAAAATTAATCTCCTAAATTTTACATACAACAAACTCAAGGAAAAATTTTAGGCAACTGAAAATCATTGTGTAGGAATATCGGAGTAAACTATTAGTAGCATTACTGCTCAGGATGAGGAGATCCAATAAATGAAGGAATTCTAGATTTTTTTTATGCATTCCTAACCAAACTATCTGAATATTTGAGCTATTATTTAGGAGTAGTTAGTGTAGTGTTGACTTTTTGAAAAATGATGTGATGTATGTTTTTCATTGTATAAAGGAAACTGAAAAGTTAAATGAAACAACAAACTAAGGAGATTGTGCATGAGCACTGAACCGTTGCATTACCAAAACTTGCAAGAAGAAATATTATGGGCACCTGAATCATTTGAACTAGGTGTGCACAACCAGACGAAAGTGCTTCTCCATAAACTGACAAAAGTTTGAATCTGGATGCAAGCCAGGCATCTCTATAATCATCCACCATTGCCAAAATCCTCTTGAGAATATCATGCAAAACCAGGCTACATACACAAGAAAGAGAAAACATAAATAGATGTGAAAAAGAGAGAGAACAAAAGCATATGACGCATTGCTTGAACAGTTGAAAAACTTTTTCTTCATATCATGTTGCAACCCAAAAGTACTTGATAGTCATGATGCAGAATCTTTAAGATTGAAGCTTTCTATAGTACGGAGTAATCTTTAAGAAGCTTTATCTATTAATCTAGAAGCCAAAAGTACTCTCATTCAAGCCAGAGAGATGCATAGCATTGCTTCAATCTTAAAGAAGCTTTATCTATTGATCTTTAATGATTCAAAGCAAATATTGTACAATCTTGATACAACTGAGTTCAGAAAAGCCCTAATCCAATACTGGTTAGGGCAAGCTATATGGATTTTATTAATCAAATCTCCATTGAGCTTTCTAATTTCGAGGGCAATCCCATGTTACCACAATAATTTAGTAAGTCAGGCATTTCGGACATAGACAGTTGTATCACTCATCAAGAATAGTGCTTAAGAAGAACATTCATCGACATAGAGTGCATTTGAATGTTGTAAGGTAATGACCTTGTATATAACTGATTGAGAGCAAGGCAAAATCCACCAAAGCTAAGGTGAATGATATCATGATTATTCTAGCTAATTTAAAACTCATAACTTGACATCTATTTGCAATTCAGAAAGCTTCACAACTATTTATGCTTTACAACACTTTCAAGTTGGGAGCATAGATAATAATCATTTCCAACCTGTTACACAAACAACCAGCCCGAGCTTCATCATGTGTTTTTTAAAAGATATGTCCAAGATGTTTGCTCATGGGGAAATTAAACCGTGTTGTATCTTTTCACAAACAAAATGACTATTGACTTCAATATGTTTAATTGAGAGGGAAGGTTAATTGTCGCACCAAAGCTTGCATTTCTGCGAGAATTAGGGGGGTCATTTCTCTGAGCTGTAGCTATTGCAGTTTGTATTAGAATAGCTATTGAGAAAATTCGGGTTGTAGGTGTTTGTATGAGTTGTCATCTAAGATTACTTGTAAGGTTATTATTTGTATGATTTAAAAATGCCAAAGAAGAGGGGTTCAAATGCCATAATACAGCTCTAGAAGTCGGAATGGGAGAAGGAACGGGGCATAGAGCTTCGAAGTCCATTTTATTTAATAAATTGTATAGCCAAATAATATCACATGCATATTGCTTCATAGCTGCGTACTTCAATTCTGCACTTGAGAGGGAGACACCACTTTGTTTTTTTTTCTTTTCATTGATAATAGAGTTCCACCAACAGGCACGTAATACTCTAACTAGTAGTGGATCTTTGATCTTTCTTTGAAATATCTACATAACACTCAATTTTAGTTTGCTCAAGGTTTTTATGTTCAATACCACCTTACAAGTTCCTTTCATATGGTGTAAAATTTGTTCTACAACAAACCAACGATCAATTGTTGGAGATGAGTAGATAACATATATTGTATTACAAACCTAGATTGCACATGAGATGTCTCAAAAAGTGACTCTCAGATAATTCAACGTGCTAACCAACTTGCCAAGTGCAAATTGGGAATCATGGGAGCACTAAAGAGATTTGCTCCCAATTTTCCTCCTGGAGATAATATATCAAGTATGATACTTTCTTTGAGTGACTTGTCTGTTTCTTACAAATTGCAAGTGGCTGACGTGACATCTTACTACTTACTAGAACTGTTTTTACTTATTGAAAGAGGTGACCAAATAGATGTACATACCGCAGCTCCTTCTCCTCCACGCCATAATCCAAATTGAGAAACCTAATATGTGAAACTGCTCCATCCACATCATCCTTTACCAAGCATTCCTTCATAGCATCCAAATGTGAAGTCTGAACACTTCTTTGGATCAATTTTAGCACCTTCTCCTCAGCCTCTTCACTCTTAAGTTCTGACCTCAATGATATACGCATTGCTGAATTTTCATCATCAATCCCACCACTCACCTGTTTTTGAATATTCAAACACAAAGCTTGAAAAACATCAGCATTTTCAAGAAACACCCTCCCTAAAGACATAACTTCCTCCTCATCCAGCACAGTATCACTTGTAGACGTGTCCTCAATCAAATCTGGTCTCAACCTGCTTAGACTCATGTCAGATATCCTTTCTAAAACAGCCAAACAGTTATCTAAATCTAAATTCTCACTACTCATTCCATTTCCTTCGCCAGCCTCTGAGTTCTCCCTCTTCTTGAGGCTGCCTAAAACCCTAGAAGTTACATCTTGCAAATACAACAAAAACTCTGCCCTCAATTTCAGCGCTTCCGCACCAAACGACCAAAGGTTCGACGTAGGTTCTTTGAATTCAAGGAGTTCAAGTGTGCATAGGAAACTAAGTAAAGCCGGGGATGGGCAAGAGTGGGAATAAAGGACCCAGTCGAATCGGCCACCCTTAGCGACGATCGTATGAAGAATGGCCCGAGCAATATCCGGATTTCGTGATCGGAGGCTACGGAGAGTGGCTCGGAATGGTTCGAACTGTGCCAAGAATATGTGATTTACAGACACTTTAGAGAGTAGCTCTGTTTCTTTGTCCTCCATGTCGAATCACGGTGATTGAGAGCGTGTAATATACACTACTATACAGAGGCGCACATATATATAAAGAGGAACAAATAAATAGAGATCAATAATGGAGGTTCTGTATCGGTCCTTCCGGAGAGGACGATGAAGGGGATGCGAGGATATGTTGCAGACTTCCAACACAAGTTTTCAAGACAAAATTTTGCACGCTGTATTTAAAGAAAAATATTACATTTGGTTCAAGGAATTTGGAAGGAAAAGAAAGAAAAATAGTTTTTCCCCATTTTCCGCACTAAAATGGAAGAAATTTAGTTTTTGTTCCTCTTTGTACATTTTTCCTTCTTATTTTCTTTTCCTTCCACTTTTTTATCTTTTTCTCTCTAACCAAACAAGAAAAATATTTTCCTTCTCATTTTTTTTTCATTTCCTTCACAAAATCCTTGAACCAAACACAACGTTAGTATCATGCTACATGTATCCAAAATTTGTACTCCATTCTATTTCTACATCAAAGATATGCACCAACATTTTTATAGTTCACACTGACACAAAGTATTCGTGCATTAACAAAAATTTACACTGACACAAAGTATTGGTGCGTTAACAAAAATTAGCATTACACCAACACAAAATGTTGGTGCATTCCTACGATGTACAAAATGGGGTACAAATCCTTAAGGTACAAATAGCTTTATCCAAAAATTTATGAACTGGGTCGGTTCACATTGTTGCACACCTTATGGATGTCTCTTACTCCCTTTTACTCCAAAGTTAAATAAAGTTGGAGATGCAATTGAACGGGTGAGTTTGGGTCAGGGTGGAGTGAGGTTTACTGGAGATGTTTGGGAGATAGTAACCATCAGTTTTACGTTAGACGAACCATAAGGCCCTCGGGTCATTCAGTGACATTGCAAGCAATATCAAGGAAAATGAAGTATTTATCAAAATGTCCTCAAAAGGTTTCATTTTTTGTGAACTAGCTTGTAAGTGTGAATTGATCAGAATATCTAGGCGCTTAATGATGATGTGCATCTTACAAAACGAAAACATGAGGCCAATTAAAGAGGGTTTAATGGACGAACAATGTCGGAAGAGACTGAACAAAAACCACCCAAAAACTTGTCATCCTTCGTTGTGCGACTATGTGTTTTCAATCTCTGGCCTCTCTTCCAACTTTTTGACATATGTGCTCTCTTCCACAAGTTGATCGTAACCCGCTCCACCTGAAGTTGCCAATCTCAAAAACCTTTGAATCTCCACAATGAAGACGAAGAATACTCTTGTGGCGTATTCCAAGAACGGAAGCGATGGGTATCATATATATGCAGCGAAGAGGACCGCACAAAGTAGCAGAGTCCCAAAAGCCACAAAAGGCACTCTCCCTCTCAGAAACTTGATAATAAATAATGTGAACTCATCACTGATCAGGGTCATGAATGACGGGTCAGGTCAACTTATATACGTGATTGGCATAACTAATACGTCAACCCTGGTCGCAATGCTTGAGAGGTCACTCCATATGAAATTTGTGAGTTCCGCAGATCAAGACGGAGGTCGACATAAAAGAATTCCCATATATGAAGTTGACCCTATAAAGTCTTCGCTGCCAGACTTCTAAAATATGATCAAAGAAGGGTATTGCAATCATCTGGAAGTCTTAGAAGAGCTTGAACTAGAAGGACGAAATTCTCCTTTCCTTTCGTAAGGCTCTCCTCAGTAGTTAGCAGCATCTTCAAAAGTTCTGGCATTGGTTTATCGAGCTTATGCATTTCGTAATTAACCACAAACTGCTTATATGACTCTAACAACGATTACATATCAGATTAGTTGCAAGTTTAGGTCTAAGTGCGAAACCCAACTTCTCAAGAGTCTCGACATAGTCAGTCATCTTGAGAATATATGGACCGATTGGGTTTTCAACAGAAAACTTGAAACTAAAGAGTGCCTTAGAGATTTGGAACCTCTCATGCCTAGCTTTCCCTTGATAGATCTGCCTCAGATGTAAGATCATATCTTATGCCTTCATACTGTCATGATATTTTGGAAAGGTCTGAAGTCATTGTAGTTAGCATCAAACATGTCACCTTAATGCCATCATCTATGTGCTTCCCATAAGCATCCTAAGTTGCTCTAAAAGCATTGGCGGTAGAGGCCGATGGAATCATTCGAGCACATATTCTTTCTTCTCAAGTCGAAGAACTATAATCTGGTTTCTTTTCCAATATATGAAGTTACATCCAGTCAACTTGTCTTTGTCGAGGATTGTGCCAAGAGTAAGACTATGGGTGGCATTAGTCATCTACAGATAATTTGTAAGATTGTCTACTATCAAGAACTCTAAGTAATTTATTGGGTCTTTAATTAAAAACTCTCCCGCTATTTTAAAAAATCAACTACCCTCAAGTACATAACATGTTGATTCGTGCTTTTCTTTCAAAAGATATCTTAGTGGACAAGGTCCATATTACAATTAATTACAGTTATACTTTGCATCTTGCCCAACAGTTAAACTAATTAGGTAGGAAATGTTTCTAATTGCAATCCAATTACAATCCTTGGTTTGCTAGGTTGTAATAACATATTGGGTCTAGATTCTTATTTCATCTAACTATAGTTGTGCTTTGCATCTTTCCCTGTAGTTAAACTATTTAATGTAGGATCTATATTTCCAATTGTAATACTTTACAAATTTGGCAAAATGAACTGATTTTATTTATTAACCTAACCATATGCCTCCAGGTTATTCATCCATTAACCTTAACTTATTTAAGTCCAACCCGGGGTCCACTCAATATCTATTGTTTTGAATTTCGTGTCTTAACAATGTAGACTAGGCATCCCGTTTTGGCATGTTTGTTCACTGGTCGAAATTGGTCGTGACGAGTGAACAAGCGTCGGAAGGAACAGATTTAAAGTATGCAATTTAACATATCAAAGATCGTAATGACTTCAAGTTGAAGGATAGTTATAGTAAAGGTCGCATGAGAATAATACTAACACATTATCATAATACCCATATAGTATTCTCATAACGGGTGAATCCAGAAACACATCTAATATTTTTGCCTACGTATAGATTCCAATGACACTTTATCTATAGCCTATGTGTAACACCCAAAATCCGTCTAGGTCTTTAGCCCCTTTTAGACTTAAGTATTAACTTGGTAACGTAAAAATTTAAAACATGTCAACAGTTGAAACTTTGTTTCATTATCATAAAATATTTAGAAACTGTAACGAAGTTCATCAAATTGTGGAAGCTTAATAGATAGTTTTACATCACAATCAATAATTCATTTTTGAAATAATTATTGAACAGTTCAAAACCATCACACATCCATCTGGCATCTCGCGTTTCCATCTGCCGCCAAGATCAATCAGATCATTCTCTATTTTGTTTACCTATGTGTACTAAATAAAATATGTTGCAGACTCAGCGTTGAAGCTGAGTTAGGATATCTAATGCATCGAATATCCATATAAATTGAATCTCCATTCATAATCAAATCATTTGATATCATGCACATAATATTCAGTTCGATATTCAGTATTCATAATGTTAACATTGCTCTTAAACTATTCGTAGTCTAAGGCTAAATCATAATAGTGCTCTTAAACTATTCTAAGTCTAAGGCCAAATTCATGTTGATCACAAAGCTCTTAAATTATACTTAGTTTAAGGCAGAACACAAAATCATGACCTATTCTACAAGTCTTATAGGTCACGCTCAAATTACCGAACAACAGACTACTCAGTGTCCGATGGGTGGTATCCCCAAACGAGCTATCCTCTAGTGTGGGAGATCTCATATGCATCTCTTTACCCAGGCCACCAGACATCATACCTGGGGGCCTATCTTAGAGTTCTTCTAGATAGGGGTAGACACGGTACGGTCCCGGGACGGTTCCGGTTTCGGAACTGGCAGTTCCGGTACCGCCACCCCTTGGTACCGGTACCGTGACCAGACTGGACGATACCGGTTCCGGTACCGGACCGGCCGGTTTCGGCCACCCCCAATTTTTTTTTTTGCTTTTTTTTTAAATTTTCAAAGTGTAAAATTGTAAATGTGCAATTGTTAAAGGAAAGAATAAAATAAAAAAATATAAAAATGTAGTTGTTATTTAAATATTGTAAAATGAGTAATACACGAACTGAAGAACAACTACATTTAATATCCTAACGGTTCAAAAAAACGACAAGCTAAAGAACCGTAAAGAAACCCTCAAATGAGCTTATATCGCTCATCTAAAAAACTAATTACATATCTACATTAACATAAAAAAAGTTTATAACTTATTTTTAAAAACTCGGGCTTCCATCTATGGTTGCATTCATGTAATGATCGGAATTAAAATCGTATCCTGACTCTTGAGCTCGACGTCTTGCCAAGAGCCAATCTCGGTTGCAAACAAGTGTTTCAAGAGATTCAGCGCTAAGACAACTTCGGAAGTCGGTTAGAATGTTGCCGCCAGCACTGAATTCTTGTTCCACTACTACGGTTGATACCGGGACGGATAAAACTTTTCTTGCTAGCATTCCGAGACATGTGAACATGTGTTCGTTCCGCTTCCACCATCCGAGGACGTCAAACTCCACGTCGTCGTAATTGCATGGCACTCCTTGGTACATATCAAGTTTGTTGTGCGAGCTTACAGTTGTACCACCTGAACTCGTCGAAGGTTGAGCACGCCTCCCTTTCTTTGCAAGAAGCCCACCGACTATTCGTGTAAAACCTTTTTTTGATTTGGGGGCGGAGGTGGTTCTGTTTCTTCCGGTACATTACCGTATATCCCTTGAAATTCCTTAAATAAAGCCTCAAAAAGAGTAATAGCATTATTTCTTTCTTCTTCGCATTCTATTAAATGGTTGTAGTAATAATTATTTTCATCTAAAAAACAACTGTAGTAATAATCACTTAGAATTTTATAATTTTCAATCTTAAAGCGTGGATCACAAATAATACTTATTTTAAAAATATCATGAATGTACAAATAATAAGCACACCATTTATCTTTCATAGGAGAGACATAAGGGTACAAATCTCGATCAGCCAAACTTTCACGAAAACATGTTGCGATTGTAACGCACTCTTTACAAAATCTATTTGTAGTTGGCTGGTAAACATGCAAAAAAGTAAGAGTTGCGTTATTTAAAACTTCTAATACGGCATTCAATTTTTCAACAATAACAAATTCATTAGGTGAAATCATTAAAAGAAGTTCATCCCTAAAATATCAGCAAGTTCCTCTGTGTAGCTTTGAATCTGTGCTATCAACTTGTATGTACTATTCCATCTAATGGTGATATCTTTAGCAAATGTTATTTCTCTTCTACCCCTAGACTTACAGAATGTCTTCCAGGAATTCGAATGAAGATGGCTACCCCAAATCCTTCTAATTCCATTTTTAATATTCGTCAAACCCCCCCCCCCCCATAGCTTCTAATCCCTGCTGAACACATAAATTTAAAACATGACAAACACACCTTTGATGCAGAAATCTACCCATACTCGTAGTAGGTGGGCAAATTTCTTTAAGTCTAGGAATAACAGCAGTATTATTAGTAGCATTATCAAAACCAAATGCAAACACTTTATCAACTAAGTTGTATTCCCGCAGAATACGTTGAAGCAATAGAAAAATATTTTCTGCAGTATGAGAATCATTGAAATCACGAAATGCAAGAACACGTTTATGCATTATCCAATCACTATATATCCAATGACAAGTAACACCCATATAAGACAAATTATGATATGTTTCACCCCAAATATCAGAACAAATAGTAATACGAGAATTAAAATTGAGAAAAAAATTTGCTAAATTTATTTTTTCAACTTTATACTGTCGAATAATTTCTCGCTTAATTGTTTTTCTTGAAAAACCTCTTGCTCGAGGGTTTAATGCATGTTGACAGTAATCAATAAATTCAAGTTTTTCAGAAAACATGTATGGCAAATTTACTTCACAAATCATTTCGGCTATTTTTTGCTTATTTTGCCCGTCCCTATAAGCAAAAAGGCCACCCTTGCCCCTGTTAGCAAACCGAGAAATTTAGGTTTGCACTTCTTGACGTCCCTTCTTTTTCGCCGCGTATTTGGCACTCCATGGGATGCCTCGACCTTAGGTGTTTTTCCGAACCACCATAACCACCGGAAACTCCCATTTTAATGACGGTGGCACAATAATTACAAGTTCCAAAAACTATGCCATCTTTTGTTTCTTTTGAAAAATGATAAACAAATAAATCTGATTTTAATTTTTTTTTAAACTTTGTCCGGACCTTGAGAGGTCTCGGACTCACCTGCCTCCTCGTCGACGTCGGTAGGATTGCTGGTGTGCGGTGTAGGCTCCACGTACATTTCTGCTTCATCAATGTCCTCGAATAAACTTTAAAGAGTTTCGAGATTGGCGTCGCCTCTACCTGACATATAATGGTTGAATTCTTGATCCGTCAAAGCGTTGCCCACGAATTGATCGGGGATATTATGGAAGGAAGAGACGGAGTGTTTTCCTTGAGAACCGCGTCCGCGTGAGGTCGAACCGTTGGAGGTGGCTTTAGCTTTGCCTCTCCTCGAACTTCGGTTCACGGCGCCCATATCCACGGACCTTCTACCAGACTCTCTCGACATTTTAATATATATTTTTTTTGATAAAAAAGGACTATATTAAATATTTATAATATTAATTATATATTGAATTTCAATATTATAATATTAATTTATAACAAATTAATATATGTGAATATGATTATATGATTATATATTTATATGAATAATGAATGTATAACTAAAAATTTAATATTATATGAGTATATATTTATATATTATATAATATATTAATATATATTTATATTATTATATAAATATAAAATGTATAGAGAGATAATATGAATTGAGAATTAAGAAATTAGAGAGGTTTAAGAGGAAATGAGAATGGTGTGATATTTTTTTAAAACAAATGTGTATTTATAGATAATGTAGAGAAGCCCCCCCTCCCCCCTCCCTTAACCCCCCCAACCTCCCCTCCCCTCAACGGCATTATAGCCGTTTGAGGGGACCCCCCTCCCACTAATGTTTGTTTTTCTTTTTTTTTTTTGCAGGTTTGAAGTTGCAGGTGGCCCACAGTAGAGGAAAAGCCAAAAAAAATTGAAATAGGTACCGGAACCGGTACCGGTACCGCAGGTGCCGGTACCGAAATGCTAGCACCGGAACCGGGTGACGCGAGGGTGGACAGCGGAAGTGGCTGGTACCGACGGTACTGTCGCCGGTAACGGTACTGTACCGGTAGCCTGTCCAGGCCTACTTCTAGATAGTCTCAATCGTTCATGATCATTATTTAAAACATGTTATTAAACTTTAACTTCAAGTCCATACTTTATTTAAAAAGCCATGGATTCTCATTTTTCTTTTCCCGCCCATTTGGTGTTCTAGAGAAAATGGTAATTGCTCACTCCTTATGGTAATTACTCAATGTTAATTAAACGGATCATTAATGGAGTTACCGTAATTGAGTAATTACTCAATTAATATTACCGTGCATATAATATTACGGTAATAATATTCAAACATAATTACATTTACTAATATATATGTAATAATATCTAATGACTTATTTCATTTAAAAATGGTAATTAAAAAATTAAGAACGTATATCACAAAAGGTAATTAAAAATGTAATTACCATAATAAAGTAAGGCTAATAAAATATATATATTATTTTCGTATTATGTTATATATATATGTAATAATATCTACTAAATTATTACATTGAAAAATGGTAATATATACATGCATTTTGAATGATAAAATTCATACACGGATCATTAATGGAGTTACCGTAATTGAGTAATTACTCAATTAAAATATTTCCTAATAATATTCAAACATAATTACACTTACCATTAATAAATAATCGTTTTTTAACCAGTTTATGCGAATTATGCGAATGGTAATTTAATTATATGAATGGTAATAAAAGGTAACTAAAAACGTATATAAAAAAGGTAACTAAAAAATATGTTTGAAGTTTATACTGGCACTTTGAACATAACCTGTAAAAACTTGGAAATAAACTATTAAAAACGTATATAAAAAAGGTAACTAAAAATCAAATTTATATGTAATAATATTCAATTTTGTATACACACCTTATTTTATAGTCAACTTGAAACACCTTAATAAAATAATAATGCCGTATATAAAACATAATGCAGAATAAAAAATGTAAAATTTTGTAAAATGTATTCAAAACTATTTAAGCCAATTTAGTACGTCAACCGAAAAGGAAATTACAGATAGAACATGACCGAATCATTTTAAAATACATCAACCAAAAAGGAAATTATAAGAGGCAAAGGTAATAAAATATTTCCTAATAATATTGAAACATAATTACACTTACCATTAACAAATCAATCCTTTTTTAACCAGTTTATGCGAATTATGCGAATGGCAATTTAATATAACCGTGTATTATGCGAATGGTAATTTAATATAACCGTGTATTTTAAATTGTAATTAAAAATAGGAAAATACGTATAGAGTTATGTACATTTTTAACACGTATGCCAAATTGGTAATAAAAAAGTAACACCGAAATTCATAAATTCATATAGTATAAATACGCTACCTTACCGGGCCAGAAAAGTAAACGAGTGTTCAGGAAACGAGAGTTTTAATTAATTGGTGCTCCACCATCGTTTTTGTACGAACATGAGAATGATTACTGCCTTAAAAAATGTTCATGAAAATTCCGGATTATTGATGATGAAGCTAAGAGTGATTAGAGTTTACCACGTTCCTGCTCATTCTCGAGGGCCGGAATCATTGGATATTGTTTTCCACGACTCAGAGGTTAGTTCTACATTGTTTTATATTTTACATATAATAAATCTTTAACAAAAAATATAAATTTAATTATAGATTAACGTTTTATATTTGTTGTTAGGGCGATCGGATCCATGCTTAGATCAAAGATACTAATATACGCACATTCAAACAAGTTTTGCAAGAAAATGCGGTTTACTTAATCATGAGGGTCAAGGTTATACGCAATTTCCAAGGCACAAAAACTACCAATCACCCTTGCATTCTCCAATATTTGGGAAAGACCAAGATTCAAAAACTATCGGAAAATGGATTTCCTGATTTTCGATTCTACTTTAAGAGTTTTGAAGATGTACTCAAAACAAAGTTTGCTGACCAAGTCTTTTTAGTTGGTAAGAGTCATTTACATTTACATAACTTAAATACTTACACATATGAAATACATTTCATATATTATGATTATGAAATTTATAAAATTGTATTTTTCTGGATTTTTAGATATATCGAAAAAGTAGTTAGTCGAACTACGGCCGAAACCCGTATGGTTAATAATGCCCCAGAGCAAATGATGGAATTTACCTTGGAGGACCACAAGTAGGTGACTTTTTAAAAACCGAATTCATTTTAATAAAAAAAGCATATTATAGTTTGAAAAAATTACTAAATAATTCAATTACATGAGACGTTATTTTATTGACTAATTACTAAAAAATTTCGACATATATTAAATTACACTAATAATTTTAACTTTTTTTTTGTAGTGGTGTTCGGTTGAATTGTAAGTTATGGGGAAATCACGTCAATGTTTTCATTGATGGATTGAGTGCATCGGATTCGACCCTTCTAATTTTGGTGTTGCAAATGGTGAAATCTAAGTTGTACAATGATATACTCATAAATTAATTCAAATTAATTTTGAAAGACATGTACCCAATGAATTAATTCTAATTGTATATATTTTTCAAATCATTTAGAGCATGTGTCTGTTACAACATTTTACTCTGTGAGCAAGGTTTTACTCAACGATGAGTGTGATGAAGTTAAAGCTTTAATAGAAAAGTAAGTCCAGATGTATTCTTGCAGATTTGTCGTTTCTAAAAATATAATCAACGTGTTGTTTAAATTTATAACAATTATAATCATGCAGGTTAATGTTAAGTGGTTATCATTTAACCCAGAGTTGTAGTATCGTCTCAACACAATCAAGATCAAGAGATGATAAAAGAACTAGCAACTTGAAAGTAGTCTCCATTCATGAACTAAAAAGCATGAGCAATGTAAGACATATTTCTTTACATGTTAGAAAAAAATTAAGTTACTTTTCACCTTAAATATATTGCATATTCATCTATGCTAATAGACTTATTTCATGTATTCCACAAATAGTAATTTTTTAATTATTGAATTATATATAATTTAAAGGGTATATACGGGATTTACTAATTAAATTAGTAAATAGTTAATAATTTAGGAAATAATTTAAATATTTATGGAAATACGTGTTCATTTTTTTGAATAAGTTTAATTTAGTTTTAATACCAGAGTAATAAAAAGTAAATTTATTAATGATAAGAGTTTAAGTGAGTATTAGGCTTTAATTTTATTTTCTTTCCTAAATTATTCACTATTTGCAAATTACGTTAGTTCATAAATTGCGAATAAGATTAATTTTTATGAGGTATTAATAATTTAGTATTATATAAAGTAAATAATGGCATAATTTAAATTTTTAAATTCATTTCAAGTAGTCACAAATAATGTAGTCTATAAAGAAGTCTTTCGAAATTTATAAAACATTGATGTTCTGTACTTTTAAATAATATAATTTCTATATTCTATTGCATTCCATTTTTTATCATTGAAAAATGATCTGAATTTAATAACATAAAAATGACCCGTGCAACGCACGAGTGTGATACTAGTTAGATAAAACTGATATTAGATATTGATACGAATATAGTTTTATTAGATTTATTATATAAAACTTTTTAAAATATTATTTTATCTCTTTATTCTATAATATATATTTGTAACGCCCCAAAACATACCCTAGAATTATTAATGAATAATTATTCGATTTAGCAAATTTGTTTTGATTAAAATAAATTGTTGTTGGGCTTTGGCCTGAAATAAAATGTGTTTTGATATCCAATATCACAACTAGTAGAGATAAATCCAATATGTTGATTATTTGTGTGATCTTGATTGGGAACCTGAGTACAGATCCAAATCAAGAATAAATAAAGATATTGTTTATGACGTGAACTTTGAAGTGATTTACTGAAATAAATCATGAGAACAAATGATATGAATTAGATGTGAGAACCTTTTTAGTCATTTAAATCAATTTTGACTCTAGCAAAGTCAAACACCTAGAAATATGATGTCAGAAAAAGTATTACAAATAAATATAAAAGTTCTATCGTTGGATAGAGTTTAACTGTCTGATCGCAACGTTGCAAATGGAATTCAATTCAGAGAAAGTTGGACAAAAAAGTGTACCCCGACTGAGACCAAAATTAGTCCCAATCAGGGAATGGCGCCTCCTCCTCCACATTGAGAATCGATCCTACGCGTATCCAACGCAGCAGGATTTGTCAGAATCTCCAGCTTCCTCCTATATAATTCTACCACAACTTCCTCCATTCTTCATCATTTCTCACAATACTTCATTCTATTATGTTCTTTGTTGAAATAGGAGTGCAGTGGTGCTATCAATTTGGTGAGAGGTCGCCGGAGCTAGCCACAAACCTCGCCCGAAGTTTGCTCAGAAAATTCCCAAAACCTCCGTTAAGCTTTGAGGTACGCCCGTAGATATATCTAATGACTAGAATGTTCATATAGGTCGTTTCTACGTTCATAAATGGTTATTTGGTTGAGTTTTGTGTTTGACATGTTTGAAGAATTAAGAATCATAAACCTTCAATTTGATGTTAAAACTATGAATTAATGATACCAAAATGATCTATGAACCTTGGAGAACATTTTTATATAGTTTAATTGAAGTTTGGAAACTAAAAATAGAATTTTCGAAATTGGAGCCGAGAAGTAGATGACGGTGAACAGTGGCTGAAAACACACGGGGAGGATTGATCATACCTCCTGGATCAATCCAAATTAGTAGTTTCTCTACGGAGGGTCGATCCAAAGTGTTGGATCGATCCCCAACCTGTCTGCTCTGAAAATACTTCTGAAAACGTTATTTTAGAACCCAAAAATCCTATTTTTGGTACCAATCAATTATGATTAATATAAAGATGATTTCTTGGAATAAAAATGGTGTTTTGACAACTAAAAGGGACCTTACGTGATGCATGACGGTAAGCTAGGGTGTTAACGCTCGATGCTAGGCCGCTAATTGTTATTGGATATTATGATGGTTGATTGATTGTTGATTATAATGAATATTATGGATTAATGATGATGATTATTCTGAATGGAATGATGATTATGAAGTATTGAACTAGAATCAAAATAAATATATTGATGAAAAATGAGTTGTATTGTTAAGGCTATTTAGAAGACCTCTAAGATATACCTCAAATTGGATTGGGCCTTGCGGGTATAAATATATATTCGGTGGCCTTGGGTAAAAACGTACGTACGGGATCCACAAAACAAACTAGAGGCACTCGTTTGGGGATACCACCCAACCCGACAGTTAGTATTCTACTGTTCAATTTTTCTGGATTTGTACCTTAAGCGAAGGCTAGTTTAAGAGTTGGTAAATCAGTTGGAAAATATGTACCTTAAACTAATGATCTAGCTTAAGAGTTGGCTAGTAGTACCTTAAACTACAATTAGTTTAAGAGTTGGTAAAAATAAAAAAGATTGGCCTTAGACTAAGCATAGTTTAAGAATATTGTTGAATATTAAATATTGAAATATGAATGTTGAATGTTGAGATATTGAAATGACTTTAAATAAAATATTGAGAATATCATGAATGAATCATGTATTGTGTGCATGATATCAAATGGTTTATTATGAATTGAGATTCAATTTATGTGGATGTTCGATGCTTTAGATATGCTTACTCAGCTTCACCGCTGAGCGTGTAGTGTGTTTTATTTGCTATACGCAGGTAGGCAGAATGAGTGATTGGCATGTTCCTGGTAGCGAAAGGGGCGAGACAGTCGTGGTGGAATTTATGATTAAAAATGAATAATTGTGTTGTTATGAAACATGGTTTAAATTTGTTTCCGCATTATTATCAAACACTCCGTATTTTACTACAGTCATGTATTGAATAATATTTATGATGAATAAAAGTGTTGAAATATTTTAAATTTTTATGATTTCCAAATTAATATGTTAGTCCGAAAGGGGCTGCAGACCTGGACGGATTAGAGTGTTACAATATTTTTTTTAATTATAGGTCAAAGGTTAAAAAACACTTGATTGAAAAAGTCAAAACTGGACAAATACTCTGTGAGAGAAGTAGTAAATGCCAAGAACAAATACCAAAAACATTGATGCCGCAAGAGAAGGGCAAAAGCGCAGAAGCAGAGCCAAGCTCTTGATAGTTTGATGTCATTATTGCTGTTGTTTGTTCGTTACCACCAATAATCGCGGTGGATTTTGTTGTTGACTCAATTTGTTGTGTCGCCTATTTTAACTCTTTCAATTTCTCGAGATGAGTACGTGGACATCTAAAGCTACATTATTCATGTTTAGGTTTAAAATTCACGTTCGTAGTTTCCAATGATTGGTTGTGTGATTTATTTGATTCTATTGTTAATTATGATTTATTAAAATTATACGATGTTATTGGAATGGATTGATCGAGGAAGGCCATGTATGTTTTATTACTCTAATTTGTGTGGTTTGTATGTTAATAATCTCTACAAATGTTATGGATACTGAATGGATCGAAAATTGGATCATACGCGTGCTCTGAAACTTTTCCTGACGTCAGACGGTATCACGTCACCGTCTATACAGTAGCAGGTTATCGTCTCAGGCCTAAGCTTCCCGCGACAGTTAATATGAGACGGTAGCTCGGTACTGCCTAACGGCACCTGGCTACCGCCATAGGCTAATTTTTTCTGACGGTACTTGTGTCTGGACAGTAGTGGGTATCGGAGCGCCAATACTTAGGTACCACCTAGTAGGGTTTTAAACAAACCGAATCGAATATTCATGAATTATATTTGTATTCGTTAAGATAAGGTGATATTCGAATTGAAATTCGAATTCAGTTCGAATATTTTTACAACCATTCAAACTTTTAATTAGCTATTAGAAAAAATTATAAACTCAATTTTATATATATATATATATATATATATATATATATATATATATATAATTTGTATAATTAAGTTTATATTCTGACTATATTTGTCAAACTCGCGAATTGAATACCCTTTATTCGTATTTGTATTCGATAAGGATTCGTATATTTATTCAGATTCATATTCGGATTCAAAAAATGGAATAGGAATCACCTCATTTGAACACAAATCACGAATCAAACAAAAAATATTTGCTTCATTTACAATCGTACCGCGTGGCGGTACCAAGGTACCGTGTCAACCTCAGCTGTCCTCTTCTTTGTGTGTTTGTTTTATTCAAATTCCACATTGATTCCATGATCTTTTGTGCTGCATGACGGTAAGTGAATGATATTTACACACGACACTACACTACTAATTATTGAGTATAAATGTTTATCTCATCTGTTGTGATCTAATACGAATTTAGAAAAACGAAGTTATGAATCTGAATACAGATAGGCTACGAACCTAGCTGAACTGTATGAATCTGTTGACTTATGATTGTTATAACATTGTTGTTATTATTTGATGACTGTTATGTGATATTATCAGTGTTACGTTGTACTTGTGTACATGATATTGTATGGAATTATGAGCTAGAGTGAGTTCATCTATATGCGTAGTCGAAACGTGATACGGTATCGTATCAGGATAGGGAAGGATTTCGAGCACGTTCGAGCTCCAAGAACAAAAGAGGCGAGAAAGAGAGAGAGATTGGGATTTAGGAGAAAGTATTTTCTTTATTCATTGATTCATAATTCATTGAAATGGATACATTTATAGCTAGGACATCTAAAGAATCCTTACTATAGAAGGAAACTAAATAATCTAGGAATCCTAATTATAAATGGTAACAAATATCCTAACAATACTATACTACTGTCTAATAATAATATAATTAATAAACCATAAATAATGATACTACCTAATATAATAATAATAACCACTAACCATTAATAATAATAATAATGATGATGATGATGATGATGATGATGATGATGATAATTAATCCTGTATCACTCTCCCTGCCTCAAAAACCAACTTGTCCTCAAGTTGGAAATTCAACAAAGAACGGGGAAAGAAGTGTGTCACTCATCGTCCATCCTCCGGGGTCAAACACCTTAGTTATTGGAGCAACAAAAGAACGTGTTGGACCTACAACATCTCCAACACGAGTTAAATAATTGCATGCGACCAACTCGATGAAAAGAATGCAACCGGGTGCAATACTTCCTGATTTACAAATAACAATAACCTAACATCAGACATTTCAAAGCTTTCTGTGCATCCATAAACAAGCAGATTGTCCCCAAAAACCTCCTCGCGGCCTTGGTGGTGTGGATCCTCATCAACATCGTCTATAGGAACAGGATCAGTAACAATAACAAAAGCATCATTGGAAATACCTACCGGATGAACAACAATTTCCTCCATCGTGAATGACTTATTGGTACCCAGGACATTGGACCCACTTTTCATGTCATTTTCGAAATGTGGTTCATTGCTTAAATTTTCCACAAGAGGACCAGTGTGTGCGGCTGTATCTTACACGATCTGAACAATCAGGTCCCCAACCTTAGGGGCTAGATTTGGTGAAGAAAGTGGAGCACCGATGAGTTTCTTTATCACGCTCATCATATTTGTTTTGAGCAAGTGTAACTCTATCGGGATCAAATTTGGTAAAATTAAGGGACCACGAACTAAATCCTGGATTGAGCAAGAGACCTCTACGACGAACGCATATACCTCAGAATCATATTTTGGTTGACCTTCAATTTGACGGAAGGCCTGAAGTTTCTTTATAATTTCATCCACGGAATCTTCAACTGCACACACGCTTTCATAAAATTCAATTTGTCCCCGTAAAACTTTCTCGAGTAAACCAAGAACTTTGTCCAACAGAGAATCCGTTGCCAAAAGAAACACCACCACACAAAAATTGAATTGAATTTTGTGGCCAATTTTTTTTTGTATAATTTTTTTTGAATGAGTTCAAGAATGAGAGCACTAATTGATACGATATCGTATCAGGATAGGGAAGGATTTCGAGCACCTTCGAGCTCCAAGAACAAAAACATTAGAAATTTCTCACTTAGCTTCAATGATGAGCGTGTAGCTCTTTTTCCTCTTTGCTACACGTAAGTAACAAGAATGACAAATAAGGAAATAATTCTGGAGAGCAGCGAGGGCGAGGAGATGGATGGATGCTGGCTGAAGGAGTTATTTAATTAGTTTAATATCTAAGTTTGAATTAAATTATATTTTCGGGCAAAGAACCCAAAGTTGTGTTTGAATTAAGTAATTAAAGCTTCCGCACCATTTTGATTAACTCTGATGGATTTATAAATAATGTTTTAAATTTAAATGTTTTAAATTATTTTGAAAATTATTGTATTTGGATGCCAATTTAGTAGCAACCTGATCTGCCGGTCTATGTAGTTGAGTCACGCGGGTCGGGGTGTTACACATCCACTCACTTTGAGTGGCGTCGAATGATAGTCTTCAATTCAGTTACCTACGATGCTTTGTTCAGAATATTGATGGTTTCTACCTTTAATCGCCTGGTAAACTCTCCCACCCCGGAACTAGTGGCTCAGATCTAAAACCTCTGCTAAGACAATTATTCTATATATAGAAAAACACTTTCTATTGTAGGATGTGAATTTATTCTTTCAAGAAAACCATTTTTCAATATTTGTTGGAAAGGGATTTTTATGTTAGTATATTATTGATATTTGAATAAAAATAAAGATACTTTGAGAAAATTTTAAAATATTTTAGAGAGCATAATTTATTTTTTATACAAGATCGATATCAAATTTTCATTATAGAGTTCAGTTTTTCAGAGTTTCGAGGGTAAAAACTACTCGATCTTTGAATACGAAATAAAATTTCATCTTAAACAAACGAAAAATCATTTTCTTCTCTTTCAAAAAAAGTGATTTTCTCCAGTTATGCAATTGAACACAGAAAAGTAAAATTGAATTTTTTGGGAAACATATTTTTCTCTCAACCAAACATATCTAAAGATTTAGAACCCGAAAAAACCCTTAAAAAATGAAGAAAAATTATAGAATCGAAAAAAATCCGTTCAACCTAGTGCGACACACACATAAAAATAATAGGCTTATTCTAGAGTGCCCTTACTAATCCATGGCATGGATGGCCTCATGCCCCTCCATGTAAAAAATGACATGTATTTAGAGATGATGTTCGTCCGTATTTAGAGAAACACATGTCTCTTTTATGACAACAGAACCCTGAGAAAACTGAGAGGTGGTTGACCCATGAGCACAATCGTATATTTCTAAAATGGTTTCAAGAGCATGTTCGCTGGCAAACAATACATTCTCCTCATAATGTCACAGAAAATGTGCGATCATTAGCTACAGGACCGTCGGTAAATGTATCTTCTTACGAGGGGTACTACATGAATGACTATTATTTTTACACAAAACGTCAGGATGAGAAGAGTACAGTACAGAATAGCGGTGTGTCCTTGAATGCTTCTTCCCTACACATTCCTAGGGGTAAAGATTCGACACCGATCCGGTCATACAAAACATACTATGGCTTGATCGAGGATATATGAGAACTCGAATATACAAACTTCACAATTCCTGTTTTCCAATGTAAATGGGTGGATATCAATAAGGGGATTAAATCAGATGACATTGGGTTTAAATTAGTGAATTTTCAGAAGTTGGGTCATCATGAGGAACCGATTATAATGGCCTCTCAAGCAACGCAAATCTATTACATTGTTGATCTTAAAGATAAAAATTAGTCTGTTGTTCGACAAGGGAAGAGGGCATCGATTGAGTTGGACGACAGTTTATACGACGAAGCAACTCATATTTCAATGATTTCGCCAAACTCACAAGTAGATGATATAGGAGCAAAATACATTCGCGAAGATCACGAAGAAGGATTACGGATAGATGGAGGAAAGAAAAAGTTAAAATAATGCTTTAGGTATTTTTTCTGTTTATATTGATCATTTTCATTTAATTCATTGTTGTTTCACTTTTATTATACTTATGTTATCTAGATTATTTTGAATTTGTGCAGGTATGACAGACGAACAAAAGAAGAAAAAGGTTAGAGGTGCAGGAAAGTGCGAGAAGCTGTATAAGAGAAGGAGGGAGGGTCACCCGCCTATAGAGCTTGAGTGGGAGCGTGGGGAGCCTGTACGTGGACCGTATGTTTTGGAGTTTACTGGGCTTGTAGGGTTTGAGGCCCGATCGAGAGTGCCGATTACTCATAATAATTGGCATGATGTCCCGAAAGACCTGAAGGCCATGGTACTAGACGGGGTTCGGGGAGGTACCACTTTAGTTATCCAAATCTGCTACCTTTAATTGTTACATGGTTCTATATATAATAAGCTGTTGCTTCATTTTCTTGTAGGATATATATGTGATACCTCCCAATGGGGTCCGGCATGTCATGACGGTTGCCGGGTCGAGACATCGCACTTTCAGGACATTTTTACGAGGAGCCTATTTGATGGAAGGTGGGGATCATTACGGTGAGGCTCCCTTTGATCTTTACACCTGCATAGAGCCAGAGCATTGGGAGGAGTTTCAGATCCAGATGGGGACTCCGGAAGCTAAGGTAAACCATAATTACCTTCATTGAATGAAATTAACTGACATATTAATTTATTTTAAACAATTGTTTTAGGCTTTGAGCGAGAAGAACAGGGATATACAGAAGAAGAATCCCTATCCGCACTATATGGGCTCTGGTGGATATGCCATGCTTTAGCGTGAGTTGGCTGCTTCTCAGGCAACCACTTCTGCCGATATCGCTTGTTCGTCTACCGAGACGGTTTCTCAGCTTGGACGGGAGGACTCTTGGTTGATGCGAGGTCACACCCCGGTGAGGCATGCAGAAGTTACGGACCCTGCACCACTAATGGAGATTCGTGATAGGATAGTAAGCATATAACCTACAATTACCTCAATATATTTGTTTATTACTTGTTTATTATTTGCTTACAATTTCTTTACTTCTTTTCTTCCTGAACTGTAGGTCCAGCTGAAGAAAGAGGTCGCAGCCGGTACCTTTGTGCCAGATGGGCACAATGATGTACTGACTAGAGCTTTAGGGACTGCCAAGCACCCGAGGTGGACCAGGGGTGTTGGGTCATATTCGGGCTTACGTAAAGTTTTCAAAGGCAACATGAAGCCTCGTAAGCCTGAAGGTAACTATATGACTCAGGAGGATCTTTTGCAGCGTCTTCCTTCCCTTCTACAACAGTATGGAGTATCTGTGTCTGGGGGTGCTCCAGACTTTGCATCCATGTCGCAGTACACACCTTCTGTAGCACCTCATTATGGGCAGCATAGTAGCAAGGCGTCTACAGATTTGTTGACTTCGCCGATCTCACTGATGTACATATATTTTTTAATTTAGGTTTCAAGTTTGGTTTACGTTTACTTGTTTCCGACATTAGTTTACTAATTGTTTTTTGTAGGTTGCTACTTATTACTTGAGGATCTTTGATCCAGCTGATTATATAGTGGCACATGGATCGGTTTTCTCACGTGCACCAAGAGATGTGGTGCACGGTGTTCCCCTCCTTCCTCACCAGGTTAAGGTCTCTATGACCCTTGTGCTTCCTGGAATAAGTGAGTATTGTAACGCCCTACAAACCGGCCTAGTTGTAAATAAATAAATATTATTTATTTATGGAGACTCATTATTTTAAATTAATAAGTATTGAGATTTCGATCTCTTTAAATGGCTTTCCAAAGCTAATGTATTTTAATATAAAAAGATGTTTTAATAACGGACCTCTCAACATTAATTAAATAAATTAATTAATGATTAGGATGGACCCGGAAATTTGAAAATAAAGTTCTTAGAAAAATTATTTGAACGTGTCGTTAAATTCGTTTTGACTGTCTGATTCCGGAAACACAAACGGATCTCAATTCGGACCCGTTCGGGGGGAAACCGCGTACCGTACAGGTCAGATTTTACACAACGGAATAGAAATTAGGGAGATAACTCCCCATTTAATTTCCTTCAAAAACCCACGCCACACCCAAAATCCTTCATTTTCCCCACATGCACAAACCATTATTTCCCATTCAATTGCCCATTAATCCTCATCAATACATATTCAATATAATAGCCCCTTCCTCTTCATTATCTCCACCACAATTGTAACTCCCACTCACACACTCCACTCTCTTCCTCTCCCATTGCATTTTCGGCCAACCACAACAGCTCAAGAGGTGATTCCGGCGAGTAGACGAGGAGGAAGAAGAGAAGGAGGAGTCCACGAGAAACCATTCGTCGTTCAACGTTGTCAACCGTTCGTTCATTTCGTTTCCGTTTCATCAACCCCATTGTTTAGAGGTGAGTAGTTGTCCCCTCTAATTCTAGAACATTTAGTTATAATCTATGTCATTATATCCATAGGAATATCGTACGCAACCTACGTAGAATCTATGCATGTTCGTAGGTTAACCATCAAACATACGTGTGTCCATGTTATCAAGTTATGTACTCGTTAATATAAATGTTTTGAAACCTTGTAAGTTCATCGGTTATTTAGCATGGAAATGTAAACAATCGTTTCTAAAACATCCAACGTTTTGATGACAAACAAACAGACAAAATGGAAATCAGCGTGCCTTGATAATCGAGTTACAGATAGTACAATTGACTATCAGGCCACGCTAGACTCCTCAGTTGATTCAACACAGCGTGATAATTGATTATCACATATGTGATAATCGACTATCAGGCCCTGCGGATTCTGGGTCTGAGTTGGCTTCACTGATAATCGATTATCACATAGGCAATAATCGATTAACAGGGCTCTCTGAACTTAGGACTTTCCGAATAAACCAACTTGACAATCGACTATCATAGGGTGACAATCGACTATCACAGTTTGCAGGACTTTGGGGACAGAAGCTGCACAGCATGATAATCGATTATCAGCAGTAGACAATCGATTATCAGCCAGTTCTGAACCTAAGGCCATCATGTTTAACAGATTGTAATCAAACACATATGTATGCGTTAAATTTAACTTCCTTCTTTCAATGCATTCATGTCATCATGTTCATCCTAGACGTATGTCCTAGGGTCATCATCATGTGCATACCGCTGTAGGGAGGTCAGGCTTTCGTGCGCCTACTACAGTGGGCCCGTCCAGGAACCTTTGGGATCCAACGGGTTTTCATCAGGTGGGCTTTGTGTACGTACATGGTAGTCAGGCTACGGCTACCACCCAGTTTTGCTAGTTCACTTGCGGCGTTTTGTCGAGCCCGGCTCATTACCGGAGTGCAGGGGTGATCCTGTCAAGTGAGACTAAGTCAGGGGTATCATGCATCAAGTCATATCGTCATCATGTATGTTACATGTCACGTCAACATTCAATGTGGTTGTCATCATCATGTATGATTTCCATCATGTCCATATTCAATGTGGTTGTTATTCATTTTGTTATGTGTAATAATATCCCATCAAGTGCAAATTAATCAGTTAGCAAACATGTGGTTTTCCGTACGTTAAGTACAGGTATTTATATGTGTATAACCATATGGGTTATCACTTCATGTTCTTTTGTTAGATTCACTCCTCAGCTTTTGCTGAGCGCGTAGTTGTTTTTGCTACACGCAGGTAGACATGACGGTGCAGGTGCTAACCCTGGAGGACAGTGATGGTGGAAAGATGGGCAGCGCATGGACAAGTTCAATAATTAAATACATTTAATTAATTAATCATTTGGGCATGAACCCACCATTTGTCGTTTTACTCATTTATTTACTTCCGCTTTTACTCTGCATTTATATCACACACGTTATGGGATTAACTCCCTAGCATTTATTTCACTAACTAAAACACAACCGTTTTCATAATAAATAGTCATTAATGCGTTTTTCTCTACGGACGGTTCTCGGACCGCCCATGTAACCCTACCGGTCTGTTGGGTCGCGGGTGAACCGGGTCCGCGGAAGGCGGGTGTTACAATTTGGTATCAGAGAAGTTCGATTTTGTGAAAAAAAAACAAAAAAAAAATTATTTTGTCATCTTGGTCAAAGAGTATATTCAAAAAGTCCACAGCCGCATCTTCCATCACATCACTTCTAGGGAAAGGTACACCGTTATTTAGATCACATATATGTCATATTGTAATTAGTTTTGATTTAAGCTCTTCTTATAGAAAATGAGCCAAGCAGTAGGTAATGACGGACAGGTAGATCCACATAGGAGTGCCTGAGCACGTGAGCGCACATCGAAGCGTCATATTAATTGCGTTATACGCTCACTTGTTCCCCATTTTGATACTGTACGATCATTAGATGAGTACTATCGGTACCGGAAGTGTGTCAAGTGTTGACTCCAGTCGAACCTTCATGCTCGGTAAGAGACGAAAGAACAAGAGGAAAAGTTACGATTCAAAAGAGTGCTACCAACGTGCACACCGCAAGGCTCGGATAGCAAAGTTAAGAATCTGGAAGCGCCGGAAGGCAGCATGGGAAAGAGATGACCCAGAGGAAACGTTCAGCGTGGACTCTGCTAATAGCATCTGCGGCGCAGGTGGGGATAATCCTCCAGTGGACTCAGCCTGACCAGACGAGTGGGAGTGGGTTGCCTGCTAACTGACGACATGGTCGAAGCTGTAATCAATGCAACATTTCGTTCCACTTATCTAAACCAAATAAGTTCCTTGAATGAAATCCGTCAATTGGTCTTTAATCTATTATGCCCTCGTATGCTTCACAAAACAAAGTTTGGGGTAACACACTATCTCCTTAAACACGTGAGGTGTGACTTGAGGAGAATTTCAGGGACGAAATTCCTTTAAGGGGGAGATAGTTGTAACGCCCTACAAACCGGCCTAGTTGTAAATAAATAAATATTATTTATTTATGGAGACTCATTATTTTAAATTAATAAGTATTGAGATTTCGATCTCTTTAAATGGCTTTCCAAAGCTAATGTATTTTAATATAAAAAGATGTTTTAATAACGGACCTCTCAACATTAATTGAATAAATTAATTAATGATTGGGATGGACCCGGAAGTTTGAAAATAAAGTTCTTAGAAAAATTATTTGAACGTGTCGTTAAATTTGTTTTGACTGTCTGATTCCGGAAACACAACGGATCTCAATTCGGACCCGTTCGGGGGGGAAACCGCGTACCGTACAGGTCAGATTTTACACAACGGAATAGAAATTAGGGAGATAACTCCCCATTTAATTTCCTTCAAAAACCCACGCCACACCCACACCCTTCATTTTCCCCACATGCACAAACCATTATTTCCCATTCAATTGCCCATTAATCCTCATCAATACATATTCAATATAATAGCCCCTTCCTCTTCATTATCTCCACCACAATTGTAACTCCCACTCACACACTCCACTCTCTTCCTCTCCCATTGCATTTTCGGCCAACCACAACAGCTCAAGAGGTGATTCCGGCGAGTAGACGAGGAGGAAGAAGAGAAGGAGGAGTCCACGAGAAACCATTCGTCGTTCAACGTTGTCAACCGTTCGTTCATTTCGTTTCCGTTTCATCAACCCCATCGTTTAGAGGTGAGTAGTTGTCCCCTCTAATTCTAGAACATTTAGTTATAATCTATGTCATTATATCCATAGGAATATCGTACGCAACCTACGTAGAATCTATGCATGTTCGTAGGTTAACCATCAAACATACGTGTGTCCATGTTATCAAGTTATGTACTCGTTAATATAAATGTTTTGAAACCTTGTAAGTTCATCGGTTATTTAGCATGGAAATGTAAACATTCGTTTCTAAAACTTCCAACGTTTTGATGACAAACAAACAGACAAAATGGAAATCAGCGTGCCTTGATAATCGAGTTACAGATAGTACAATTGACTATCAGGCCACGCTAGACTCCTCAGTTGATTCAACACAGCGTGATAATTGATTATCACATATGTGATAATCGACTATCAGGCCCTGCGGATTCTGGGTCTGAGTTGGCTTCACTGATAATCGATTATCACATAGGCAATAATCGATTAACAGGGCTCTCTGAACTTAGGACTTCCCGAACAAACCAACTTGACAATCGACTGTCATAGGGTGACAATCGACTATCACAGTTTGCAGGACTGTCATATGGTTATTATGTCCGAAGAACATGGCGTACGTGGTAGTTTTTGGAGATCGCCAGTATCTGGATAGAGTACTCGAGACCTATCAATTGCGACCCTGGATACTTATGTCGTTGTATCTATCGATATCATATGTTTTCTAAACCATTTCGAATATGTATTTTGATTTTTTATTTTAAGTTAGTGACTAACGCTTTTTCAATTATAGGCATCATTGGGTGTTAGTTGTAATACGTTTGTTTGAAAACAAAGTGTATTTCGTCTATGAGTAATTAAGTATTAAGAAATTTATTTCTTATTAATGAAATTCTTTATTTGTTAAGATATTAATTTCTTATTAATTTGTTTTTTACATATATTAAAGGTCTTGGCGGTTACTTCGGGAATGACACATGCCTTAGTTTAAGACTCGACCGGACTGGGTTGATGTTCCCGGAGTACCCCAACAAGTAGGGGGCGTTGAGTGTGGTTATTATACCATGCAATTTTTATGGCTCATCGTCACTATGTGTGCACAATGTTCTTTACCCTTATCCGATGTAAGTTTATTTTAGTGTGTTTTTGAAAGTAATGAAGTGTTTATCATCATTTCCTTTTTCATAGATTATTAAACTTTATGTTGTATGTTGTTTTCGTATTGCAGGTGTTTCAGTCTACTTCGTCTTATACTAGAGCCGAATTAAAAGAGGTTAGAGAGTTTTGGGCGGGGGGTTTCTCGATGAACTAGTGTAAGTTTTGTATTATATTATTGTATAGTATTAGTTGTATGTTAGAAGAATGTAGTGGTTTAACTCTTAGTTGTGGTGTTAAAACTTAGTTTGTAAATGTTGATATTTTTTAAGATGTACAAGTAGTGATGGATGCAAATGTTTACTTTTTTGGTTTAATTTGTTTTGTGGCATTTGGGTTTTGTGAATGTATTTGTGTTAGTTGTTGGTTTGTGTTAGTTGTTGTGTTGATAGGTTGAATTGTTGTTGTTGTTGAACCTTTATATTTTGCACAAAATTCTGTGCAAAATTGAAAATGTAGTGAATTGGAAGCAAACAAAATAAACCTTTTGAAAAAAATTCTCTTTTGCATCGGTTATTTGGTAATAACCGATGCAAAAGCCTCTTCTGAGAAATGGGAAAGGGGCTTTTGCATCGGTTATTTCCAAATAACCGATGCAAAAAATTCTGAGAAAGAGCATTTGCATCGGTTATTTGGAAATGCTCCTTCCAGAATTGGCGCCAATTCTGTGAAACTTCCCAGAATTGGCGTCAATTCTGGGAAGAAGCTTTTGAAGTAACCTGAGCATTTGCATCGCTGGTTTTTGCATCGATTCAAAACTGATTTAAAAGGGTCAAAATAACCGATTTAAAAAGTCTTTTTTGTAGTAGTGTTAACCTTTGTTTTCATGTAGACTAATAAATATTCCTTATTATTTTAAGTTCCAAAAATTAAAATTTGGCCACTTCTCTTTCTCTCCGTTTAGGAGACGATGTGCAGCATGAGATTAATAGTCTTGGAGTACAGTAACGAAGGCGAATAATTGTTGTAATTAATTTAGTAGAAAACTTAATTAGTAATATTACTAATAAATGCAACTATTTGTGTTGGGTGTGCCATGTTTGTCATGTTTGTTCCTATGTTCACTCCAATGAAAGCATCTGTTTGTCAAAATGACAAAAAAATAACAAACATAAACTGTTTGTTCAAATCAGATGTTACTTTTGTTCGTTTTTTAATTCAAACTTTACCATGATGTAGCACTAACGTAGTTTTTAAAGACTCGGGTCAAACGAGAGAAGCACAGCAGACCATAAACATCATCTGCAACTCTTCCCAATCACAAAAAGCCCATGATTATGGGATTGAGAGGGCTAAAATTTCATTCCCGTCATGGCACAGTTAGGAAAGGTTAACTATGAAGAGAGAAAACGTGGAATAGATTCTACAACATGGCATGGTTTTAACTAGAATTGGAAGAAACAATGACCTATTTCAAATCCAGGGTGAGGTTAGTTTCAGGTGTGGCATCAAATGGCAGATTAAAGGCTTTTCAGAAGTGAAGGGAGAGTCTTCTTTACTCATAACTTTTAGTTGCAGCCCACCCCCTTCCTCAATCGCAG